TAAAATATATAAATAGAATAATATAATTTATACTTGGTACTTAAAGTATAAGGAAGTAATGTTTTGAATTTGCAAATGTAATAAATTAAATATTTATTTTATTAGAAAACAATCTCAGCATCAGTGAGATGGCTCAACAGGTAAAGGTATATGTTGCCAAGCTTGTCTGATCTCCAAAGCCCACATGGTGGAAAGAGAGAACTAATATATAAATAGAATAATATAATTTATACTTGGTACTTAAAGTATAAGGAAGTAATGTTTTGAATTTGCAAATGTAATAAATTAAATATTTATTTTATTAGAAAACAATCTCAGCATCAGTGAGATGGCTCAACAGGTAAAGGTATATGTTGCCAAGCTTGTCTGATCTCCAAAGCCCACATGGTGGAAAGAGAGAACTGACTTCTACAGGTTGTCCTGTGACCTCCACCAGTGTGCCTTGACACATTCATGTCCCCTCCCCCTCATAAATTTTAAAAAGTAATTAAAATTTTTAAAAAGAGAGCAATCTCAGACTTACAGAGAAGTTGCTGGTATAGCACACAGACCTTCTCCCCGCATTACTTGTAAGTAAACAGCTGCTGTGATGCTTCTCGGCTCTCAAATGCTTTAGTGTCATTTCCTACAGTTAAGGACACTGTGTCACATAACCACAAAATCATCATGAAAAGTAAGAAATAAATATTTTTACTTTTCTGCAATTTAATTTTCAGAAACCACTCAATTTTCACTTCCTTTATAGGCTACGGATCCAACTCAGTATTGTATTGTATTTGGTTGTTATATCTCTCATCTCCTGCAGTCTGGGATGGCAGTCCTTTTAACTCTCATAATCTTAACATTTGAATATTAGAGGTCTGTTCTTTTGTATATTTTCCCAGGATTTGAATATTTCTGAGTTTTGTCTTGATTACACTGTGGTTATACAACTTTGATACATCCATTACAAAAGGAGTGTACTGTCCTCCATTACATCAGATTAACCTTGACAGTCCAATTGAAAATGTGACAACTGGTTGATAGGTTCCGACAGAAATCTCAGTATGTAGAATACAAATTCTGTTTGCCTCATCCTTGTGATACCCACGTTGATTACTGACTGAAAGTGATGTCAGTCATTCTTTTCCCTATTTTTTTTTAAAGCAATTTAAGTGTTTTATGGTGCTATCCTTTTCCTCATCAGATTTCCAATTTATCCATGTTTGGATGTCAGTACAGACTTGTGGTTTCCTATTTGATTCCTGTTGTTACTGTTCTTTAAATGCTCAGCTCTTCTAGATCGTTCCAATGGAAATTCCTTCACACAGGGTTCTGTGTCTTTTTGATAAATCTTGTTCACTAATTAGTTTTTGACAAAATATGTTCCAGACTTTTGTGTGTTGCCTGCTTTGTTGCTAAAATTGTTTATTTTCTGTGGATCCTCCCTTATTTTGGGTGAAAAATGATGCTGAGAAACTAAGATCTCAGTACTGACACATGGTCACTGACACAGGGGTGCTGTGGCTCAGTGGACAGTCATCTGCACACTTATACAGATACATTTTATATCCTCTGTGTATACTGTAAATTTTGAAAACTGAGATCACACAGACGCCTCCAATGCCAATTAAATGCTTATATTAGTTGCTTTCTCATTGCTATGATGAAATAACTGACCAAAGCAAATTAATGAATGCTTTATTTTGACTCACAGACTGAGCATATACTTGGTCATAGCAGGGAAGTCCTGGAAGCAGGAGTGTGAGGAAGCTGGTCACACTGTCTGTAGTCAGAAAGCAAAGAGAGATAAATTCTGGTGTACTCCTTGTTCTTGAGAACTGTTTGATTCAGCAGGGATGGGAGGTGGGGAGGACAGCAGCCCATGAAATGCCATCACCAAGAACTCATATCCAGTCAAATCTTCCTGGACACGTCCTCACACACATGCCCAGAGGTCTGTTTTTTAGATAATTATAAATCCCCTCAAATGGACAAGTAAGACTAGCCATTCCAATTCCACTCTGGTCACGCTGCTTGGACTCATGTCAAACTGCGCACACTAACATATGTCCCATGAAGGCAGGTCTCACTCATTTGAACTCTCTGCACTGGGATCTCCCACCTTTCAACAGACATCAGATTCACACCATGTTGGGCTCCACTTCATTGTCTCACCATGAGATGGATTAGAAAATGAAGAGAATTGAATTTGAAGGAGCAGATACTAATTTTAAATAAAAATTGGTTTCTGAAACTATTTTCTGCAGAAAGGCCATCTGCAAGATGCTAGAAAAAAATTTTTTTTCCTGATGAAATTTTCTTTTCTCTAAAATCTTCTGGTTTCCTTTAGATTTCATCTCCTTAGCCTCATTGTCATGGGATTCATGTCATCAAGGCACATAAACATGCTAGCATGCATTTTATATTAATTTTGTAATCTCATGGAATATTTCAGAGTTTATACATTCATTGCAGCTGAAAACTTTTCATGTTGTATCCCAGTGCTCCAGCCAGGCCCCTTATCAATATTCAGCAATTTGGGGGTCAGCAATGCTAGCAGGGCCACATGGCATCATGCTTGGTACACTAGGTTTGGCAATAGTGGGTCCTGGAACATTTTTGTTTTGGAAAAACTGAGCTACAAAATATGTCACCAATTAGAGTATCTTTGAAGTGGCAACAAGATTCTCTTCCATGAACTGTTGCAATCAGCCTGTGTTCAGAAAGGAAAAAGAAAGAAAAAGAAGAAAGAAAAGGAAAAACTTAAATCAGATCAAGACGCTATCAGTACAATAAAAAGACATCAGGTTTCAGCTTTCTTTTTAATTTCTCTGTTAACTTTTATTACTCTAATTTGCCTTCTAGCTATAGGGCTCATTAATGATTCCACTTTGCTTCTGACCACAGAATTCACTGAAATTCAGCGAACGATAAAGAAACCATGCACTGTGTTGGTGCTTAAATCTTCCTTCTGTAAATGTGGTCAAAAAGGACAGCATGTGTGTAGAGCTCTGTCTGGATGGGGACTCTAGTAGAGTTGTCACCTGGGTGAGCCTGAAATACACAAATTGCATTGTTAGTCAAGTCCACACAGAGACAGAATTTAAAGGACTGTTTCTAAGAGACCATTACATACATTGGACCCGACCCCACCCCCTGTTTTTTCTCTCAGGAGTGGTAACAGGTGATGATTCCTATAAGGAACTTTGCCACCTGGGTTGGGTTGTGAGCTTACTGACAGTACCCGGGATCAAAGAGTATCCCAGGCTCAAGCTGGTCCAGTGAACCCCAGGGGTCAGTAACTCTTCAGAAATCTTTGTAAAGAGTTCTAGAAGCACACGTGATTTGACAGTCATAATTCAAAAACAATCCTATTTTGATTTCCAGTGTGTCAAATAAACATATCTGAAATTTGGAATTGGTTCACACCACTGGAAATACCAGTCCATGGTGTTTTTCCAGAAGGCTTTTTTTATATATGAATCAGTTTTAAACTATATGATTGGGATTAATTTTCCTCTTTAAGTTAAAAATCTATCATGAGCTGGAGAGATGGCACAGCAGTTAAGAGCTCTTGCAGAGGACCCAGGTTCAATTCCCAGCTAACAACTGTCTATAACTCCAGTTCCAGGGGGGTCCAGTATCCTCTTTTGACCACACAGGCATTACATGACATGGGTGCACTTACATACATGCAGACAATACACTCATACACATAAAATAAAAATGATAAATAAAAATATTTAAATAAAGTCTGTAAAAGAGATCTGATCCCTTTACCTTTATTCAGGACTTTCATCATGCTGACAGACACATAGGGAACGATGGGAATAATTACTTGCTAGTTTGGTATTGATGAAGAGAGAAGTGGAGAGCTTGGATGAAGCTAATTGTCAAAGGGGAAATTATTTTCTAAGTGAGCTGCACAATACTTACCATTGGTCTTTCTGTATATTTAATATACAAACTTATGATGTAATGAGGTCTCTAGTAAACAGAAATAATGAAGAAAGTAGACCTGGGCTTACAGAGTTTTGTGTCACTTTTCCCTCATGGCATTTAATTTCTTGTACTGTTTATTAAAGAAAAATTTGGGCACATATGTTATTGATAAGAAGCAGGAAAATTGTAGTCTTTGTAATGAACAAAACCAAGAATGGAGGGAAGGATTGTTCTGAACTGGCTCACTCATCCAAGTTATTCTTCTTATTCATTGTTTTAGTGTTATTTGACAATTTTCTAAGTTGCAGAAAACTTCTAATAATACAAGAAATTCTTGTCTCCAAAAATGCAAATTAATTGTCCTGAGAGGAATGCAATTAGTGTCCTGTGTAGGGACATGATTACATCTGTGTAAGCACAATTTTCCTTATTTCTTTTATGGAAATAGTCTGCACTTTGAATTCTCCTTTGAACTGGTTGCAATATAATTTTGGTTTCTTCTATAATCAATGGATGAAATGAAACTTTTGGCACATTCGCTTTGCATCTATCTGAGTGTTATGGCTACACCTTTTCCAGTAAATATCTTGCAAACATTGCAAATACTGCTGATACTCAGTGGGTTTTTCAGAGGGCTGAGTAGCCTTGCTTCAGAAGAGGGTTGTGCTCCAAGTTACCCACATATCTCTTTGGCTCTCAAAGGTAAATCAGAGGCTTATTTTGCTGATCATCTGTTTCTTTCTATATTGCTCTTAAAAAAAGTATTGTGTGGCTTTTGTCTTTGAAACTTTAACACTTGATAAATTCTTCCCTGTTGGTAACAGCAGTGGTTGAGACTATGTCTTTATGGTTTAATCTTTGTGATATCTGTAAATGTATTAATGAAGAGTTCTCTTCTCTGCTAGATGAGAAGCAGTAGGGAATCCATCTTTTTAACCCTTTGTTTTTATCCTCTGTCCTCTTGCCGATTTTAAGAGTCAGAATCTTGTCTTTCCCACTGGGAAACCAGCAATTCTGCATGCGGCCTGGCAAGTGTATCTGAGTTTGCCTTTGGTCTGTGGCAATGCTGATACCTGGTTACTAGTGCTTATGTATCTCTGTGCTGATGATTATAATTTAGGAAGTCCTTTATCTCTTTTCATATGAACATACACCATTTTCCTATTTCTGGAGTACTCCAGTTTGCCCAGTCTTGATGGGTTCTCTTTCCTGGCTTACTCTTTCTTTCCTTTGCCTTTTATATGAAAGGGATTTTTTAAAACCCGTGAACTCTTCTTAGCAAAGACTCTGTGTCTGACAAGACACAGAGGGCTGGAGAGATGGTCAGCAGTTAAGAGCACTAGCTCCTCTTGCAGAGGACCTGGGTTCGATTCCCAGCACCCTCATGGCGGCTAACAATCATCCATAACTTCAGTTCCAGGGGAATCCAACACCTTCTTCTGTCTTCCACCAGCATGGCATAACATGGGTGCACTTACATACATGTAGGCAATACATCCATACACATAAAAAAACAATAAATAAAATAGTTTTAAAAATTAAAAAAGAATATATATATATATTGCTTTATGTGGAAGTTATTACATCCCAAGTCATTTAAGAAAAACAAGAAACAACTAAAATAAAACAAAAAACAAAGATTCCTCACTTATAATTAGCTGAGGCTCTTAAAAACCATCTGTTTTAAAATAGTTAATTATTTAAAATGTTTGCTTAAAGACTTAACTCAATATTTCTCTGGCACTTTAATCTTATCTGTATCAAGTTTCCAAATACCCTCAGACAGTATATTTTTTCCTGATTTTGCCATTCCATAATTGGATCCTAGTAGAGAAAAAAATTAAATAAAAACTTTCAGGGTATCTTTTACAATTGAAACTATATAAGCAATTTCTCAGGGGGGAAAAACTCACAAATATTTAGTCTTTTTATTTTGAAAAGGGCTACAAAAATAATTAAGTCTGTCTTTAGAATCCTACAGGAGGGGCTCGCAAATCAGAGGAGATGCTTGGCCTTATCTTGGCAAATTTGTATAACATGGTGTTAGCAGAGTGAGTCTTTTAGAACATCTGTGTGCTTTGTGGGAAATCCCCAGAGCCTTCTCACTGCTCTTAGTGTCATAGCTGTTTTCATCCTCATCCTGAGTTCAACTATTAGGGACAGTCCCCTCTGGTTTTCCTATATTTATCAAACTTCTAGGGTTGCTTGCCTGATTCTATTAAACAGTGAGAGTATGATGCTATCAGTTAAAATTTGAGCTATCATTTAAAAATATTATTGCTAGCTGGGCATGGTGGCACACGCCTTTAATCCCAGCTCTCCGGAGGCAGAGGCAGGCAGATCTCTGTGAGTTCAAGGCCAGCCTGGTCTACATAGTGAGTTCCAGGACAGCTGGGGCTACAGGGAGACCCTGTCTCAAAAAGAGCAAAGGGGAAAAATACGATTGCTGAGGCCTTACTGCAGACTTACTGAAGTTCCTTACTAAATATTTTTGGTATTAACATATAGGTCTCAGAATATTTAAAGATTTTCCTCTTCAATGTAATTATTTTATCCAAATTTTGAATTAGATATACCACCCATAGAGTTTTTTTTCTGAAATAAGGTTTATCATCCCCTTTTTAGTGAGTTGTTATTTAATATTTTGCAGTGGCTCTAATAATATCTTTCATTTGTGTATCACACAAAGAACTAAATTTGCTTGTCCACTGGATTCTTTTTTGTAAATATTTTGGGGGATTTATTTATTTTTATTTTATGTGTATGAGTATTTTACCTACATGTCTGTAAGCATGCCCAGGTTGTGCAGAGACCACAAAGGCCAGAAGGGTATTAGATCCATGGAACTCGAGTAACGAACTATTGTTAGTTGCCATGTGGATACTGGGAACCAAACCCTTGTCCTATCTAAGAACAGCCAGTGCTCTTAAACACTGAGTCATTTCTCCAGCCCCATGTTGGACTACTCTTAACATGAATCGTCATTGGGCTATTCACCTTGGAAACCTGTTAATCTTGATTCGACCACAGCTATTTCAAGTCCCTTTGTCTGCACTACTGTATTTTGAGGCTTCCCTGCAATCTTCTGTAAGGAAGAGCGGTCTCAGGAATTAATGGAAAAGGACTGCACTAAGCACCTTCAGCATTGGCACTTAAAAGCTGGGCTGACGTGAGGAAGATGTTGCAGATGGCTTCAAATGTGAAGTGAATCAGGATTTCTAGGCTTTTTTAGGTCTAGGGAAAGGATCACATAGGAAGACTAATGCAGAGGGAAATTCACTGCAATGAGGCTGAATGAACCAATGACAGAAATCTTGGAAGTCACCTGGACTATTGTTAATTATATCATAATCCTGTATTTTGTGGTTATATTAAAAATGCCCCTTTTCCCTTCCTGAAAAGTCAGTAAGCCATAAATATCTAATAGATTTTACTCTTGTTTTGCTGTACTTTTTCTTATGCTCCTCTGGGTTGAATCTCTGACCTAGGTCATGCAAGGTCCTACGACTGAGCCACTGAGCTATAACCCAAGTGTCCTTCTCCCAAACCCTATTTGAAAAATAATTGAAATAAATTGTTTTTGAGACAGGGTCTGTATCTAAATTCCACAGGTCTTGACCTGACACTGTATGTAGCCCAGACATGCCTTGGACTTGAGAGCCTTCTTCCTCAGCCTCCAAAGTAGATGGGATTGCAGGCCTATACCACGAGGTCTAACTTTGGATCCTACTTTTATAACTTGAAATGAGTTCAGAAGTTCCTGTTTCCTTACTTTCAACTGCTATTTGTAGTGATTTGTATAACATTAATCAGAAGTTGTCATCTTTTTACCAGGAAGTAATTGCACAAATTTCAAAACCAAGACCTTGGCTGGAAAGTATCATTTGAAAACATTTAATCAAGTTTAAACTTCCTTATGGAAGCAAGGCCCTCAGAGCTCTTGTAGGCAAATTAGCTTATTGTCTTGGCTTCACCACCCAGAACTGTTATATGTAAGTAACCTAAAGATATCAGAGGACCTTGGATAGAGAGGGATTTGCTCAAATGGATAGTTACTGCAGGTAAAATCTGGTGGAGAACATTTCTTGGGTTGGGTATTCTATCCTAAGGAC